TTTTTAGATCGGAATAAATAAAATATACACTATTAGTTAAATTAAATTATTCATTTTGTGGGTTTATATACTAGTTTTTTTTATTATTTTATAAATAAAATAGTCACAACCTCTCCTTGACATGCACGTTTTGTATGCTGTCTTGAACCCTCAAAAACTTCAATCAACACATTGCTAATTCTGGAAATTAAGTTCTAATTGGTTTTGAACTCGCCATCTGGGATTTGCCATCCATCTTGGAAAAATCTTTTGGAAAGGAGAGATGTGAAATTTTGAACCTCCTTAGTCCTTGAGGTGAGAACCTTGGAGCTTTGGGGGTACCACAAATTAAGATTTTTGCTTGGATGTACTCTAGTTTCTTTCCTACTTTCTCAGGATTGGGTCAAATTAACTAGGAACTAGATATTGATTTCAGAGGAGAAAAAGAGAGGAAGAGGAGAGGAGAAGATACGAAGAGAAGAAAAAGATTAGAGAGGCAAAAGTGTTGGCTGGCGGTGCTAGCCTTGTATTTATACTCTAGGGTAGCCAAACATAATAAAATAAAGGGAAAAGACAAAAGTGCCCCTTGTGGCGCATAACAACTTAATTTTACACCACTCCCCCTCAAGTTGGGGCATAGGTATCAATCATCCCCAACTTGTCACAAAGATCATAGTGCTGAAAGTTCAATCCTTTGGTGAGAACATCTGCAAGTTGCTCTTTGGAGTTGATATACCGAGTGCACACTTCTCCATACTCTAGTTTCTCACTAATAAAATGTTTATCCACCTCAATGTGCTTGGTTTTATCATGGAGAACAGGATTGGCTGCAATGTTGATAGCAGCCTTATTATCACAGTTGAGTGACATGGGACCATCAAGAGGAAACCCCATTTCACCTAATAGGTTTCTAATCCACAATACTTCAGCAACTCCATGAGGCATGGCTTTGTACCCTACTTTCTGCACTAGATTTGGCCACCACGCTTCATTTCTTACTTCTCCAAGTAACAAGATTTCCCCCCACAAAGGTACAATAGCCACTTATAGATTTTCTGTCATCTACAGAGCCTACCCAATCATCACCAATGTAAATCTCAACTTTCATACGTCCATGCTTCTTGAAGAAAAGGCCTGTCCCTAGGAATTTCTTCAGGTACCTAAGAACCTGATCTGCTGCTTCTAAGTGGGCTGCTTTGGGAGCATGCATGAACTGACTGAGGACTCCTACAACATATGCAATATCTGGCATGGTCATAGATAAGTATATGAGTCTACCCACAAGTCTTCAGTACTGCTTTGAATCTTTTATGGGCTCATCATTGCAGTCCTCGAGTCTATTATTTACATCAATAGGAATGTCAGCTCGTTTGGCGGTTGGCCCCAAGTTCTCTTGTATCTTTTAAGA